TGTTCATGTCAAGAACACTGCATAGCGCAGTATCGCTGTTGAATACTGACACGGCCTTCACGGCCAGAACTGCCGCACTGTGCAACGCCGCCCCCGCTCACAAGTCGAGCTCAGTGTAGCAAAGTAGAGGGCAGGTGGCCAAGGGATCACTGCAACTGGTCCAGCTTGGCTTGGATATCTCGCTCCAAACCTTACAGACGCAATTCTGCCGCACTGCGTGCCACAGCTGGATGCAATCATGTGAAAGGCAGAGCGCTCACAGTACAAAGTGCGCTCCACGAGCAAAACTTCTGCTTCCAAGCCAGGCTAGGATGTCTGGACAACAGAGCATCACATGATCCACTGTGGTCTGCGAGAAACTCGTTTTCAGCGAGCCCAAGCAACAAAGGCCGGAATTATGTGCGCGAAGGCCTGCGCAGCATTCAAGCTCTACAGATGGGTGACCGATTCAAGTTGTGGGATACTCTTGTCACAAACACTTGTAGCGCACTTTCGTCTCGCAATTATGCAGGACACCCTTGTGGGACGCGCCGCGCGTACACACGCATGATTCTTGTTCCCCAAGGTGCGAACCCACGCAAACGCACTTCCCACCGAGGCCGCGCCAAGCCACGTGGCGCAGCGACATGGTAAGCCTTCTAGACGTCGTCCCAGAGTCATGTGTTAAGCCTTCAAAGCGAGCACTTTGTACGAGACTTCCTCTCAAAGTCAGACTGAGGACTTCATGCCAATCCCAATGCAGGGCGACATTCACCAGCGCGAAATGTCGCAACCTCACGATTCCCTGGAGCTGCCACGCAAACTGCATCCCGGCCCCATTGCCTCCAACACCCACAAGATACTGCGCCTCGTTTTGAATGATTTCGACCTGTTGCTGCTTCACCCAGACCCCTTAAAATCGCAATTTTAGCTGACACTTGCCATGAAGGCAAGCTTAGAAACAAGCGCTTCAAGAGCAAATCGCACTGGCACAGCGACATTCAACACCTCGAAAAGACCACCCGGCAAACGCCAAACTGATCACATGTGACCGCTTGCGCACGGTTGCGAATATGAAAGCAACATCACGGGAACGTGCTTCCCCGAGATCCCCAAGTTAAACGAGAACCCTTCGCTGCGCATTCGGGAACATGACTACAACATCTAAGGCTCCCGCAAAGTGATCGGGGCCGGTTGAAGTACCCTGTTGGCCCAGCTCGACAAAGCTCTGAAGTCTGAAAATGTCAGGTGCGGCTGAACAAGGTCGAAACAGACCTCCGTGCTTTGACAGATGAGTGCACTCGCCTCAAGAGGCCACCGAGAAATCAACGTTTTTTCTTTGGCAACTGCTAGACTAGACTAGATTAAAAAGTGGCTAGACGACTTTGTCAGGTTGTGCTTGGTTGTTCTCCCCAATGTATCTATCCGGTTGCCCTGTCATCTATGGCCAAGGCTTCGCTCGTTGGCATTTAGCTGTAAACTGCTCTGGTTGATTGAAGATGACTGATCATGGAATTGGCACAATGCATGATGGGAGGCACAACAAGAGTCTCAACGACCAGCTGAAGGAAGCCAACCGAAGAGTCACTTGTCAGATGTGGGTGTTAGGTGCAACCAAGTGCATTTGCCGATCCAATGCACATCACATTATGTTCGCATTTGTGCTCATTATGATTGATATTTGTGACATTTCTTTTTAGTCAACAATAAAGCAGAGTTCATACCAAATAAGGACGTGGGCCTAGAGCGACATGTTTGTGGGGGATGAACTTCCTGCATAAAAGATGTAGGTATAAAAGAGAATTAAGACAGGGCTTTTCACCACCTCTTGACTGAGGCCCTACAACATTTTTTTCAGCCCAACCAATTGTCCTCTCTTCCAAGACAATACACCCCCACCCAGACCAAAATCGTGTGTGCAGCAGCTTAAGCAAGGAAAAACAGGCAGCATGGTTCAGATGACAAGACTGGACTCTAGATATGGCTATGGAGCCAATACTGGGCAAAACCATGCCAACATGGCTCCAGGAACGGACTGCGAACTCCACCTTGTGCACATTAGCAGTTATCCCTACTGTGCCTCATGTAAATTGCCAAGGCGAAATTCACTCCACCTCGGCCCGATGCAGATGCACCTGAAGACAGTGACGAGGTGGGGCCGTGCAACTAGAATTCTGTCAGATCAAGTTCAGAACTGCACATTTTGCATGTACGACTTACTGTATGTTAATGATGAATATGCTAATGTGTGTATTGGCTTGGATTGAATGACATATACAGTATATATATATATATCAACCAGCAAAGGCCTGCGGCCTTGGATTTTTGGCTGCCAGGAGTTCGAGCATGAATTGTTGGCTTTCGAGCAGAGGTGCTGCATGGAAAAACGGGTTTTATTGATTGGCTGCTATATGTATCGATAGAATGTGAATATGCTGCATATCTCTCTCTAATACGTATATGTATTTGTGACTGTACCTTGTTACTACTTGTATGCATGTAATTAGTGGAAGATGGACTAGTATAATGTACCTTGTACTCTAGGGAAACGTCAGAAAGCTTTGTGTTATATATAGACATGTCACTATGTGTATCGCCAGGGCCTTGATGCACTGTAGAGGAAGACCTTCAGCATGTCAATGGGAGAATTGCCTTGAGAATTGCATTGTATATAAAATGATGCACAATATTGATTGCAAAGACTTTGGAATTGGGTAATCATGATTGCTTCGTAGTACTTAGTAGTTCATGTACAATTTCACAAACACTCGGATTTGCTGTCTGAAGGTGAACGTTTCTTCATGTGAGCTCTAATGAGACCAGCCTGTTATGCTTACCCGAGCACAGGGTGCCTTAGTCAGGGTGAACCCCGCGTTTCCCAACACCGCGCAGGTTCACCATCTTAGAAGAAGGGCCTGCCGGCCTGGACATCCTCGCCAGCAACCTCTCAAAGGCCTTGACATTCCGGGTTTACGCGAGGCAATCTTTGCTGGCACTCGACACTTTGCTCCTAAGCATTTTGCTTCTGACTGCTGGTGGAGGTACGAGAACGCTTGTGTCTTGTTATACCTGATTAAGGTAAGGTGCTCAAAGCCTGCAGGTAAGACATCATATGTTGCCGCTGATTGCTTGCGTTGCTGCAGGGTACGGTATGGGGCAGGTAGCATGAACCGCAGGATCCTTTTTGGTGGGAAAGATTCCTCAGAAATTGTCATTCTCGTCCATAGTTGCAAGGGAACATCGGAAAGGTTGCACAAAAGTAGCTGCATATGGGCATCGTGTTGTGCTTGTTTGCACAGGACAAGCAGAACCTGGAAAAGCGCTTAAAGCAATCTCAGGAGGCACTGTTGATGACCTGGACCGCATGTTAAGGATTCTGAAGGCAGCCGGGAGCCATACTTTAGATTGGAACATATTGGAACTTGCGGCTTGCTTCCCAAGGCCCAAGGGTCTGAACATTGCTTTCTGGACGAATAGTTGAATAGCGGATAGCGAGTTTTGCAGCTTGCGTTCAATCTCCGCCAGACTGTGCAATCCTTGACAAACTCTGTGGAAGAGTGGAAGCGGCTAAGCGAGGAGCAGGCCAGACAAGTTGAATAGCCTTCATGTTGTACTGTGTTTGTATATATATATATACACATGTTTTTTGTGTTTCAGAAGACTACACAAGTAAAGAGATGGACATTTGGTGTTAGCCAAAAAACAATTATACACAATACACTCACCAAAACCATGACATACAAAGAAAGACGACACTCTCACCAAAATGTACTTTGATTTACTGTAGCAATATATTGACCGTATCATCTCAACACATTCGACTTTGAATCAATGCTCACTTTCGCCCAGCTCCCCTGATCCCATTTTGTTTGTTTGTCCCATCTCAGGTTGACTACAGCCTTTGCTCATGTTGCCTCAAGTCTGTCAGCGCTTCGTTGCACAGGACCTTCAGATTGCTGACCTCAGCGCAAAGCTTGACCAGATGATGCGTGACCATGTGAAAAAGCCCAGAGATATTTTGTGTGACCACGTTGATACCCCATGGCAGTACCAAATATGCCTTTCGATATAGCTAGGCTAGGCGTCGTTTAGCTCAGTCTGAGCAGTGTCAGCATCCTGTGAATCTCTCACCTGGCCGCCTGAATCTACTCCCAGGCAGCCTTGCAGGAGGCCATCACACAAAAGCGGCGGGAGATTGAGCAGCAGGCATGAAGAGGGAACGGGGTTCGGTCGTCGATGCGACTAATGCTGGTGTGCAGCCTGGAATACCCGAAGTGTACTCTGCGATGCACGCCGGACAGGACTAGAGGACAACGATCCTTGTAAGAACCCATGAGCCCACGTTAGGTTGCTGAGGAGAAGGCCTTGCTGGAAGCTAAAGTGCAGGAGCTGCAAATGGAGTGGTCACGCACTAAGCCAGCAAATGTGTGGCACTCACAGCTACCGGTTCCTCTTCAAAGTGCGATTGTGATTAGTCCAGGCTCAGAAATGGAGACGAGAAGTCGATAATTGATTAGCCTTCAAGGAATTGAGGTAACACCATGAAAGAGCAATCTGCTTGCTTCGTTAGTGCATTCTTCACCCAACTGTCACCAAGTGACAATGCTCGCGCTGTGGCTGATGGCATGGACAAAGCCAGCAGTCGTGTGCAGAAGGTGGGTGGAGACTCGGCTTCTTCAACTTTGTGGTGGGACGACAGCACACATGTGCTGTGTTGTACACTGTACATATATTTTTCTGCAGTATTATAGCAATCATGAGCAGTTGGGAAGTTGTTGGCTCTACGAATCTTCACATATCAGTTCAATCTGTTCTGATCTCACTTGTTCGTTGCCTGAATTTGCGTGGAACGGCGGGCCACGCCGCCAACTTTCCGCCGCTTTTGACCAAGCATCAATTGGAGAGATTCTGTGTGAGAGTAGCTTGGCGAGACAATGGTACAACCATGCAACTCAGACATACAGTACCAGCTGCTTAAGACAATACGAGTAGCCACTAGCTGTCACTAGCTGTGCAGCCTCATGAAGTTTGGGAAGCAGATCAAGCGGCTGGCGGATCCTGCGGACCTCAACCACTACCTCGCCTACGATGTTCTCAAAAAGGCCACGATTTTTCACTCCTGATTTGAAGTGCCGAACGGACGCCCACAGGCAATCAACGTTGTAGCCCCAAGCGCACAGCAAGAGAATGAGGACTGGGCCAGAAGGGGATTGACAAGGGAAGCAGGAGAGCAGAAGAATCATGTATATAGTTGTTTGTTTGCTAGGTGTTTGTTCGTTCCAGCAACAAAGTTGAAGAGAACATGCATCCTGTGAGTCCAGGCAAACCAATTGGTTCATCCGAAGCATGATTCAATGGTTTGGGCTATTTGAAGGACGTGCTTGGCAAGAGCGCGCAGCCAGCGGAGTCGAGGTGCTAAGATCATTTCCGGACTTGGGGCTGAAGTGCAACTAACTACCATCATCCTAAAGACTTTCTTTTCTACGGGTTAAGCTCTAAGCCTCACACGCCAGGGGCCAGTACCTCCTCCAAAAGCAAAGAAGCATTTTGGACTGCTGTTCCGACAGCACAGAGAGACGAGCCTTTGCTTGGCAGGTTTTACGAGCTCCTGCAGCATGAAATGTCGAAAGTGAACAGGTTCTTTCAACTCCAGCTGCGCACATTGCTGGACTGGATTGTTGTGTGGGTGCTGAATATGACTAAGACGAGCAACATTTCCTGGTATCAGGCAACAGGCAGGTGAAGGTATTTTATGGTTCGTCTACGGTCTAGACCACTACAGTGTATTCTACAGTGGACGCCACTGCTGCCAATTGGCTTGCGATATTCACACAACTAGTTGCCTTGGCATTTAGGATGTGAAGAGGAATGCAAGGCTTTTGGTTTAGTGTGTAAATCTGTTCTGAAAACCTTCGGAAGTCAATAAATGGCTCCTACCAGTACTATGAAGTTGGAGACTTTTGCCCTGTGTTGTGTCCCAGAAAAAGAAACAGCTCAGAAATCAGCTAGTCTACTTTCGACATTCATGTATATAATTGATGTTCATTTCTGGAAGGACAAGTTCCGGGAAGTGCAACGTGCACTGCACTCTATGGCACAAGGCGGAGGCTGAAAAACCAGCCGCGGGTCCATATTCTGTCATTGTCTCAAGGTGAGGTTGAGTGAGGTGTGAGGGTGACATGTTTGACCAAGAAGCGAAAAACACATTCCAAAAGTCCTACAGGCAGTTACCCAGCTTTGGTCGAAATGAAGCACTGCTTTGTTTTGCTTGGAAGACATGGAAGGCAGTGAACTCCTGACCCATGCCAATCGACTCCTAGAAGAGGCTGCCGAAACCTTAGGAGTCTTTGGCGCTTCAAGTGCCGTTTGTAGCAAGTAGCGGAGAAGAAATAACTAGTGCAGATACGTTCACCTTGATAGTTCACATGGGTAGCGGGTAGTGATGTCCAAGACCAGAGTAAGGTAAGCACAGGAGCAAACGGCAACGAAGAAGAACTCAACGAATTTACTTTTGAGACAAATTAGACATTCCCTTTCGATTTTCTCGAAGCTTCTGCACTGAGGCTGATGGCCTTGTGGAGCTGGACCAGTTCAAATATTTGAACTTCACTGGATTCAGGTGCTGAACCTGTGAAACCTGGGAAAAGGTGTTAGTAATCCTTTTCTTTTGGAATCTTGTTTCAACTTGGTTGTGTGAATATTCTTGGAATGCCAGGAAAATTGCGAAGAAGTTTGACAAGTCAACAAAGAGTGGGGTGACCTTATCTTCTTGGAGCCTTGATTGGAATGTGAAAAAAGAGATGTGCACCTAATCTTTTCTGGCTTTCTCTACAAGCCTTTGAAGGTGTGCAGATTTAATTCTTATTGTTTGGCCACTGAGGTTTATGCCACAACTAAAAAGGGCCTTTTTTGTGGCCCATCCACTGGATGGTCTCTTGCTTTCTTTGTCTCTGGGCTATGCAGCAGTCCGCCGCTTCCAGTCAGGCACACACGGGACGTCATTCTGCCAGAACGGTTGGTTTCTAGGGAGCTTTGGGTGTTTGGCTTTCTCAAGTGGTGGATTCACATGCAGCAGAGGAGGCTCTCCGGCGGTTCATAGTTGTCATTGTGTGGATGAGGCCGACGCTCTGAGTTGGCAACGGGGATGAGGAGACCGCCAAAGACAATGCGCCATAAGCTGAAAGTGCTGACCAGTCTAGCGTCTACAGATGAGCACAGGTTGGGTGACATTCTGGGGCCTATGGAAGGACTTTTGTTGTTTGGTGTGGAAGGGTGCCCTCACCAACTCCCAGTCGTGAACGCCATAACTCCACCAGGATCAGTTAGTGAGCCCATGACCCTGTGAGGCAGTTGGAAAATACCTCGCCTCCTTGACCTAAGACATTGATGGTCATCATACTCGTTTAAAAAGAAACATCCTGCAGACATTCAACATGCCACTGGCATCTTACGGCCCAGGTCAAAGGGAGAACCATGGCGATGACGTTATCATAGTTAAAGTGTCCAAAAAAGTCTAGGAACCAAATGAATAGTGCGAGCGTGAGCTATCCTGCATCCTAGGTAGTAGCTACTTAAGCTACTAGCGACTCCCTACAGTAGCTTCTACTAGCTACCTTACCTCACCTCTACTAGCGGCCTACCCCGCCAGGCAAAAAAACAAACAGAAAGACGTTCTAGGTGGAAACTGTGTGTACCAAGCCAAGGACCTTTTGCTTGGCTCCATTGGGCCGCATGCGATCGCTGTGCACCTTGACATCCAGTTGAGCATTTTGTGGAATTCAACAATTGTAACAGTGTAACAGTAATACTTTGAGAACTTTGAGTACTGACGTGAGGCCTTCTGCGCTCGGGATGACTTTTTTTATCCCTGCGTTTGCATGTCAGTTTGCGCGGGTCAGTTGCCCAGTACCGAGGTACTTTAGTGAAGAGCTTCCAATTGGTTCTGCCACCTCACCAGGGCCATGTGGCTTCCGAGGGAATGTCAGGCTGGGAATCCGAACAGGCAGCATGACAGTGTGGTAGAACTTGTGCTCGCCAACCTTTTATCGGACTCTCGTGGTGTGCTGTCTTGGTATCCGAAAGTCATCTTCACAGGACTTCATGCTGTGTTGTTGTTTTGGCAAAATAGGATGTGTTGAAGATGTTTTGAGTGCGAAGCGGTGCAGCAGTCCAGCGGCACAGGTGAAGAGCTGAGCTCGGAGTTACAGTGGCTTGGCTTGGTGCAGCCAAGCAGACTTCCAACCCATTTTGAACCTCATCAAAGCGCCTGTTGCTTGCCTTCCGTTCTAGAACTGTAAGATCTATATAGATGTCTCATTTCGGAAATGTCCAGATGGATGCGAAATCAATTGGATGTCATGTAACCGATATCACCTCGAGGAAATTGCTGTACGCACTGGGCACAGAGGGCCTTCATGTGCCATGCCGGATTGCCACGCAGATGACAGCAGAAACATGGCTGCAGTGGTGATGAAAGCTGACCTGGCTGGCCAATCCTGCTTCCAGATTCACAATCGACCTTGATCTGGGACCCTGCTGGGCCACAGTCTACAAGGTCACAAAGACATGTTGCACCTAATTTAAAAGCTTATTGCTCTCTTTCCGCTCTCTTCTTTCAACCCTCCAAATATACCAAACAAAATCCTACAACACAAATTCACAACTAATTTTATGTTCACGCACAACGCTTTCACAGTCCCCCACCCCGCCTTGCTTCAAGGTTGCAGATTGCATTCAGACAAAGAATGCCTTTCATGCCAGCCAGCAAGTCGCTTTCTGCATTTTGACCCAGACTGCGACAATGCAAATGCCAACATTGAAAATTGAAATTGGGGACGGAAGCGGCCCACGCACTTACTAAGCACATGTAGCAAACATTGAAAAATGCATGTCCAAGAAAGATCCAACCAGACATTCAGCCAAGGGAGTTCTTAGAGGTCTTGGCCAAGGCGGAAAAAAGCGTGAACTGCACGCAGCGGCAGAACACATTCTACGCAAGAACAAGGTGAGCACTCTATATTCTGTGGACATTTTGCCGCATCCCAATCCAATCCCAAGCGCGACACTTGCCATCAACTCAACAGAACGCACGGGCTCGCCACTAGAGATGACTGCGCTGGGTCATTATCTTATTTCCTATCCATGATCCTATTTGTTATTTCACTTATTTCCTGTATTTGTTTTCCTCCAAATAGAAAGAAAGTAAACATTCCTTCCCTCCATGCAAAACCGGGGTCAGTGAGGAAGGTGGCCACGTTTTTCTACATTCCGTGGGGGATGGGTCAATGATAGGATAACGAAGGGGCTAACGTATGAGGTGTCAGGATAACGAATAGGGACGCTCTCAGACTCCCTACAAAAATGACGACCGCAACTGGCTCTTGCAATCTTAGACGGTTGAAATTGCTGGGGCTCAAGTTTTGCGGCCTGGTGGAGGCCCTCAATCGAGGTCCGAATGTGTCTGAAAACGCTCCCGTTTGGGTGGAACTTGTGGAACCTCCGCAGAGTGAGGTGGAAAAGCAGTGGGGAGGATCATGGCCCGTGACAGGAATTGGAACAGGCAGCATAGGGTGAATCGCAGGATAGCTTGAAATTTCAGAGTTTGCCACAGCTTCAGACTTTTTGAGGCATGTCATGCAGGTGGTTTGAACACTTTTCCCTAAATAGCTCGGCTTTCTCAAGGAGTGATGTTGTTCTTTTTCTTTCCTGTACTGAGGAGTACTTTGATTCTCCAGAGGATGGTTTCCCCTTTTACCAGAGCCACCTGCAGGCCACTGGTCTTGTGGTGAGAGACGGCTTTGTTGGTGCTTGCTGTTTGTCCTGGATTATTCCAAAGTTTTCACTGAAGTCACTTGAGCTCAACAAAAGAGCCAGAGATTGCTGACAAATGCTTTGTTTTTGCGGATTTGTCCAAGCCTTGCGCTCTGGGTTTTCACCACTGCAGAGCTAAGGCCTCTGCCGGCGAAGGCATGGCCTCGGGGGGAGGTCGCCAACAATGGGACTATCCGATTGTGGCAAACATGTAAACACTGCATTATATATATATATACAGCAATATTAATTTGCATGTCCAAAAATGCTGCAAAGACCGCACTCGGAAGCGGTGAGCATATATGTATATGTGAATTCCGTCTCCTGTTGGCTGAAACGCACAAACGAGAAGTGT